GTTTTAAAGGGTGTCTTTAGATTTAAACCTCTCCATGCTCTGTTGTAAATGAGTCCAGTTCCTTTGGGAAGAGATTATGAACAATCTGTTTTATGGCTTACTTCTCCCCTGTCCTAGACAAAATATCTGAGCCACAGCCCTGGAACGGTGAGGGGGAACAATTACATGCTTCTGTCTTAGTGACATTCCTGCATTAGGAGCTGAGTGCTCTGTTCAGGAGGGAAGAGACCTGGATAAACAAAATGTGGTATACACATACAATGGAATATTACTCAGCCTTAAAAAGGAAGAAAATTCTGACCCATGCTACAACATGGATGAACCTTGAGGAAATTATGCTAAGTGAAATAAGCCAGTCAAAAAAGGACAAAGGTTGTTTGATTCCCCTTACATGAGATAGCTAGACTAGTCAAGTCATAGAGACAGAAAGTAGAATATTGGTTGCCAGGGGCTGGGGCGGGGAGAGGATGGGGAGCTATTGTTTAATGGTTATAGAATTTCAGTTTTGCAAGATAAAAAGAGTGCTGGAGATCTGTTGCACAACAATGTGAATGGACATAACATCATTGAACTCTACACTTAAAAATGGCTATGATGGTAAATTTTATGTTATGTATATTTTACTACAATTTAAAAAATTAAAATTATTTAAATCTTAAGAAATGAAAACATAATAATCTTTTTCAGGTATAGAAAAGCCGAAAGAATTAATCATCAGCAGATCTGCACTACAAAAAATGTTAAAGGAAGTCCTGGCGGAAGAAAAATGATACCTGTAGAAATCTGGATCTGTACAAAGGAACGAATAACCCTGGGAATGCTAACAATATGGGTGAATATAAAAATAGAAAATAAAGATTTTTTTCCTTGTTATTTAAAGCTCTTTGAAAGACAATTCAAGCAAAGATAATAACAATATATGATGAGGTTTATAAAAGTAAAAAGTATGATAATGATAGCACAAATAAGAGAGGAAAATTGGAAGTATAGTGTTATAAGGTTCTTATACTATATGTGAAGAGGCTTTATATCACCTGAAGGTAGACTTGTGGTAGGTTAAAGCTCTTTACCATAAACTCTTAAACAACCACTAAAATGCACAACAAAGAATTACACATAGATATAAGTTGGCAAAGGAGATAAAATGAAGCCATAGAAACATCAAATTAATCCAAAAGAAGGTTAAAAAAAAAGAGGAAAAAGAAACAGAGAATAGATGAGACAAAAATAAAACAAATAACAAGATGGCCACTAAATGTAAAAGATCTAAATACTCCAACAAAAAAGTAGAGGTTGTTAGATTGGATTAAAAAGGAAGACCCAGGGATACCTGGCTGACTCAGTCAGTAGAGTATGCAAACCACCCCCCCCTTTTTTTAAAGATTTTATTTATTTATTTGACAGAGAGAGAGAAAGATCACAAGTAGGCAGAGCTGCAGGCAGAGGGAGAGGGAGAAGCAGGCTCCCCGCTGAGCAAGGAGCCCAATGCGGGGCTCAATCCCAGGAGCCTGGGATGATGACCTGAGCCCAAGCCAGATGCTTGACGGACTGAGCCACAAAGGTGTCCTGAGTATGCAACTCTTGATTGCAGGGCTGTGAGTTTGAGGCCAAATATTGAAACAAAGTAGCACATTTATAAATAACCCATAGATCAAAGAAAAAAATCAAAAGGAAATTAGAAAATATTTTTAACTGACTAAAAATGAAATACAACATAAAAATTTTGTGTGAAGCCATTAAGGTAGCACTTGGGGGAAATTTTATAGTACCAAGTGCCTATCTTAGAAAATAAGTAAGGTCTTCAATTAATGGCCTCAGCTTCTACTTTAAGAAAAGTATAAAAAGAAGAAAAAATTAAATTCAAAGTAAGTAGAAGAAGGAAAAGAATAAAGATCACAGTGGAAATCAATGAGACATAAGACATAAGGAAGAGATAAAAATCAATGAAACAAAAAGCTGGTGTCATTAAAAACTAAAACCTCTAGTCAGGCTGATCAGAAAAAGAAAAAGAGAAAAAAATTAACAATATCAGGAATGAGAGCAGTGACTTCACTGCACATTCTACAGATGTTAAAAGGATAATAAGGGAATATTATGAACAGCTTTATGGCAATAAACTTGACAACTTAGACAAAACGGGCAAATTAAAAGACACAAACTAGGGGCATCTGGGTGACTCAGTCAATTAAGCATCTGCCTTCGGCTTAGGTCGTGATCCCAGGGTCCTGGAATGGAGCCCCGTGTTGCCCTCCCTGCTCAGCGGGGAGT